GGCCTTGTTGTTCCCGCACGCCTTGGCGGCCCCCATCGAGTTTTATCTTGTCCGCGCCGTGTAGACTTCCTCGCTCGGGTTTGGCATCTGGCTCCGAGCCCGCCTTGCATGCGGTTATAGCCTCGGCGCGGGGGCTTTGAGGACCGTTCGTGGGTGTCGACGGTCTTGTGCTTCGACAACCTTGACGCCCTGGGCTCGACGCGGAGGTTGTCCATGCTCACCTAGCGCGTTGACGGCCTTGTTACTCCCGAATGCCTTGACGTCAGCTTTGGCTTTGCCATGCACCTCCCGCCTAGGCTGCGCGCCTTGCGTTTTGACCTCCTCGTACGCGTTCCGCGCGTTGCCGCCCTGCGCAGGGTCACGCCCTTGGGGTTCCCGCGGTCCTTGCTCGCGTTTCCACCTTGCGCCTCGATTCGCGCGCCTAGCGATAGCTCGGTGTCCTCCCCTGACGATGACAACCTTATGCGCGTTCTTGTCCTCTTCCTTCCTCCACTAGTCCTTCCTTTCTTTTATCATTTACTAATAATCATTTTATAGCTCACCTCCGAGCGCTACCTCCGCCACCCGCCCGCGTACCACCCCGAGTGGCGCCTCCACCGGCTGCTGAAGCGAGCGCACGGCCGAGGAGGGTTAAGGTGAGTGCCAGGTTTACGAGGTTAAGTGGGCGAATGGTTTTTGGGGACGTGGGCAGAGACTTTGGGCGGAAGGATTTGCTTTCCGTATATCCTTGGCGACCCAGGTGATTTGGGCTCCCGAGGGCTCTCGAGCTCGTCACCGTTTTTGGCTGTGGGCGCGAATCGGTCTCGCCGCGTCACGTCCGGTCGCGTTCGGGGAGGAGGGAGGGGAGGGGGACAGAGGGCAGTGGTCCCGAAGGGTTTTGGGGGTGGTTTGCTGCGCGGAGCGGGATGCGAGTGAAGCCGGCGGGAATCACAGGTCGAGACTGCGTGCACGGCAGCTTTGTGGTGTCGTGTCGGTCTCGCTGGCAAACTCATTGTGTTGTCGAGCGCGCGCGCTTGCGGCGGGCGACTCGAGCCTAGTACGCGTTCCGCGGGCAAATTGGCGATGTCGCTGTCGGCCTCGAGACCCTGTGGACGGAGGACGACACCACACCTTATCCTCCTTTCGTTTTGACGCAACGCGGTGTCTCGTTTGTGGAGACTCGGAGTAAGGTATTACCATGTATGCACCATGCCGTCAATAAAAATATGTATTCAAACCCGTTGCTTTGAGCTGAATCATTGCTGGGATTCGAATTGAGATGAGATAGGTCAGAGCGAAAATACAATTCCTGCGAAAGACAATTGTGTCGCGCTCTAGGTACAGAGTCCATCCATCTATCTATCGTTGGAAGTGTATCTACCTCTACGTAGGTAGTTCCTTGTCCGCGCTAATCTAGCCGTGAAAAGATTCCATGCATCCTCCGTGATTCATCCATATCGTCTCCCGTTCCCTCACACAAACCGACCCACATCCCCCACCCAAGAAACAGTCCCATATCCACGACCCTCTAAAGAGCAACCCCCCCCGCCCTCCCTCCTCGATGGGATCGGATGCACAAGAATCGAGGACAGCCTAACCCAGAGGTCAGCCGCCGCGAGACGTACGCCACAGCCTGCTTCGACGCATACGCTAGCAGCCCGCCATTCCCGACCCCGGAAGGCACTTGGATTGGAAGAGGATACCGGTGATCTGTGTGCGGGTGCGGAGTCAGTTTCGTAGAGCTAGATGGTGGAAGGCAAGAGGAAGGCGGACGCACCACATTGACAAACGCATTCCCCGAGAAGAAGCGCGTATACAGGGTGGCCACCACGCCCACCGCTAATCCCCCGACTCCTCGATGGCGCCCAATTCCAAACAGCGAAAATAGCGGTAACTAATAATTAGTCAGTCTTCCTTCCGAGTATGCGGTCGCGGTAACGCACTTTGATACAGCCTTGGCGTCCTCTGATATCACGCTTCCGTATCATGGCCCACCACATGTACAGCCCGTACATACTGCCCTTGAGATAGTACACATCATACGCCTTCGCGCCCATGGCGAGCCTAGGGTCGGGGCCGAGCGAGTGAGTACTCGATGGCGCCGTACACGATATTGGCGCGATGGCGAGGGAGTACACGACGGCGCTGTACACGATATTGGCGCGAGGGGACCGCAGAGGACCACGAAGCCCTGAAGTAAAGGCACTTGAGTGACGCGCCGGGAGGAAGGAGGAATGTACGTACGTACGGGGAGGATGAGCTCGACGGAGCTTGACGCGACGGCGCAGCGGAGACGCACTGAAGCCCATGGCACGCCGTCAGCGACCAAAAATGCCCAAGCGATAAACCCTATCCCCGACTCGCTGCAGATCGACGCAGACCCCATCCCGCCATACCGAGGATCTGCGGTCAGCGGTGGTACTCCTGCTCCCTGCGCGTAGAGGCATATTCTTCGTCCACCTGCGCAAGCAACTCTATGTAAGTATCAGCTTCGGAGAGAGAGAGGAAGGAAGGAAGAAGGAAGAATGAGAGAAACGCACCACGCACACTCCCGTAAACCCCACACGCCTGAGCCTCCTTAGGGCTCCCCAGACTCAGTGAACGCTGCCGCAGTGTATACTTCAAGCTACTCGTCGTCGAAGCGCATCAGCAGGACGGCGGTGCGGCACTAGAGGCCGAGCACACCGCGCGCTGCGTGGGCAGGCGGGGCGCGTGGCGCCGAGCAATCGTGGGCGCGTGCGTGAGCTTGATTCCGGGCGCAGCATTATGAGCGCGACGTGGCGGGTGATCTGCAGAGCACGGTGTCAGCGGTGCTGGATTACAGAACGGAGGAGAGAGATGCGCACGCGCACGTACACCTGCGCCGTCTTCCTCTCCCTCTCCAAACCTCCCTCCCCTCCCACCTCTCGCCCACCCTCGCTCCCACCCAGAAGATCCCCCTCCGTCAACGCCGTACACCTCCCGCGACAGCACCCACAAGCACCAAAAGCCGCCAAATCACGTCCTCGTTCTCGGTCCACCCGCGCTTGCTCGCGAGCATCTCCGTGTTCTTCGAGGACGTGGTGGGAGGACAGGCGGGACGTCGAGGAACGGTTCTTTGACCGTTCTTCGGTGTTTGGCGTAGTCGTAGGTGGGCGGACGCCCAAGTCAATCGAATTCCTGTAGATGAAATAATTAGCATTCTAGATGAAGGGAAAGCGAAGGGAAAAAGCTAACCTGGACAAAGGATACGTCAAAGAACTCGACACCGCGTTATGCACCCTGCTGACGATGAGGCACCCACCGCCGTTAGACGGGTGATGCGCGGTGGCGGAGGGGCGAGTGGTGGGTTTGGAGGTGAGGGGTGGGTTTGGAGGTGAGGGGTGCGCGCGCGTGCGTTGTGTGGTCGGAGTGCGAGCGCGCAGGGGCGGAGGGGGTGCATGTGCATGCACCAGGGAGGCGCGAGCACCCCGCGGAGGCGAGTTCGGCGAGACGCACGCGCGCGTACTCGGGGAGATCGCTCGACGGCCTGTGCAGACAAAATCGACGCGCACCGATGGAGGTTGGGGTCATCGATGGCCCCGTGGCGCTGCCCCCGTTGTACAGCTTCGGCAGGACGAAGGGCACGCCGCCCTCGCCTGGAGTTTGGACCGATTGGCGCTGTCTCGCGTGAAGCTTGCTCGACGTCCGTATCGCTTGCAGTCCGTGTCCGCATCGTCTGCGTCCGTGGGTCCGATCGTGCGTGCGCGCAAACGGATGCATGGTGGTGCCTCCTCAGTCTACCATTGGCAGTGCGCCTCGCGAAGAATCCCATACTCGAGCGTGCGACACGAACGTGGCCCTCTTGCGCGCACGAAGGGGCACAACGGCAGCGCAAAGGTCCGATGCCTGGGCGTCAGCGCAGCGTGCGGCGAAGGCGCGGGGAGAGGAGTTGGTGGTGTTGGTGTGCGGTCGGCAGAGTCGCGAGTGCAGGGGCGGGGTACATCGAAAGCGGTGTCGACTCTTCGAATTTCTCTTCGTGCGCAATTTGTGCGTGTCCATCCGCAAGACGGCAATAGGCTTCAATTCCCGCCTGTCCTTGGATATCAAGTACTAGAGCCCAACTTGAAAGAAGCACCGAAGAAGACGTTTTGAATTTCCTGGAGAAAACCGGCAAAAATTAGATCAGTCCTAAATGGGCCTAAGAACTGTGCTTGCCATGTCCGCACCTTCTACCATTTCCGTCACAGCGAGTTTGGAGCCCAAAATCGCGTCCGGCGCGCGCTCGTCGTGTGTGAAAGTCAGGAAGATCGGACCTGAAATGATACAGATCATCGAATCATGATGCAAACTGATGCTAAAGTCGGCCCGCTTCCTCTCACTTAACCATCATGGCGTGGGGTTCGCAACCCCAGCGCTGTCTTTCCTTCTCTTCTAGCATGATAATAAAATCTGTCTCTTTCCTCATTTACCTCAACTGTCTTTGCTGTTGACTTTTTCTCCCGAAGAATCTAGTCCTGGCCCCTGGGATCTTCCAGTTGCTCCGATTGCTCTTGAAAAATACGACAACGAGTCACAATGATCCACTGCACACTTACAGCTCCCATTTCGTTATTCCTTTTACTTTTAAATTCTGGTCCTTATCTCAAACTGGGAATCAGTCTTTGTTGGAAACTCCTCTGAATCTTATTATGTTTAATCCTCGCTCAAACTTACTCCTTCCAAAGCTAGGTACAATAACACCTGGTAGCACATGGTGTGCACCTCCCTTCCTTAATGTGTCGATATATTTGTGTGGGCAGGAGGTCCCCGTTCGATTCGGGGTCGGGTGATATAACACTGGGAGATGTGTTTTTTTCCTCCCTGTCTGATTATTAGAATTGAGCCATTCTCCGGAGAGCTAATTCCTTCTCTTCTCTGTGGCATTTCTTCGCTTCTCTGTGGCATCCAGATACTCATGATTCCACTTCCATTGGTATGTCGTTCCGCGTGCCCTGCCCGCAGTTTAACCACTCTCACAGGTTATCTTGTTCATCTATCCAACTTCAAAGCAAATAGTTTAACACCCAATAGCACATGGTGTGCACCTGTCTTCCTTCAGAGCAAGGACATGATGTAGGCAGGAGGCCCCCGTTCGATTCGGGGTTGGGTGATTTTCGAAAAATAGTTTTTTGTTGTTCTCCCTCCAAGGGTCGCAAAGTTGTGTTAAAATCACATTCATTTTGGCTCTCTTTACCCTCAAGTGGTTCCATAATGGCCAATTTCTGCTCACACTTATCAAAGGTTCAAAATTGGGTAGGAGAACACCCGATAGCACATGGTGTGCACCTGCCTTCCCTGAGCGCTAGGAAAATCTTCTGCAGGCAGGAGGCCCTCGTTCCATTCGGGGTTGGGTGATTGTTTCTCCGTCCTAATTTCTTTTTTCTCCCTTCCTTTGCTGTGTATTGACAAAGTTGTGTTAAAATCAAGCTAACTGCAGCTCTTTTCAAACTCAAGTAGTTTTCATGCTTCTTGATCTTGGCCCACACATATTGAGGTCCAGAACTGGGAGAGAATACCCCATAGCACATGGTGTGCACCTGCCTCCCTTGCTGCTGCAGGGAAGTTCATGTGTGGGCAGGAGGCCCCCGTACGATTCGGGGTTGGGCCATTACTCGTTGAAACGGCGTGTCATTGAATACGCTGCCATCTGGCTATTATTTGCGCTTTTTAGCAATAGTCTGTCTAGACGCTACTAAGTAATAATACAGCCGTCTAGACGGGTCAATATACCTACTAGAACTCTGTTCGGTGGTACAAAGGAGAGTCAGAGTGAGCTCCGGCTGCTGACTGTAGTATTAGTACAGTGCTAGGCGCGGTTACAAGCGTTACACTGTGCGAAGTACACATACCAAGGAGGTCTATATGGGGTCTAGTACCTCAGGATGTCAATTACCCTATCAAAGGAACCAACGACTGCACAGGAAAGCCATAGTCTTCACTAGCAGGGCAAGCAACATGATATAGGGTCTGCCTAGACGAGTCGGCGCACTAAGCTACAGGCGTCTAGACGAGCATAGGACGATTCTATAGGCTGTCTAGACGGCAAAGTATCGCGTCTAGACGGTGCAAGGAGCTTAGAGATATAGGAAGGGGTCGCCCCAAAGTGCCCCTCTAGCCAGTCAGGTGACCAACGCGACGCGGTCAGCGTTGGGGCGCCACAAGCACAAACATGACGAA